CAGCTGATGCTCGAGAGAGACCCACACGGAAATGTCCAGGTAATTGATCATAGTCCTGCCTCTTCATACTAAATTTCCACCAAGCCGCAACTAGCTTCATCTCTCATGGATTATTAATTATAATATAATGTTCCTCATCTTGATAGGTGGCCAAGATTGAGACTGAGAAGATGCTTATTCAAATGGTTGAGACTGAATTGGAGAAAAGAAAGCAAGCTGGTGCATACAAGGGACAATTCATGGGGCAGTCACATTTCTTCGGGTACTTTCTCTCGTTTTGTTCTTACATCGAACCAACCAAATTTCTATAAATACTTGCACATACATTGCGTACTTAACGATGTGAAAAAACAAGCTCAATTTATTGCTTTTATCGACTTGAATACAGTTATGAAGGAAGATGCGGGTTGCCTACAAATTTTGATGCCACCTACTGTTATGCACTCGGTTACGGCGCTGGAGTTCTACTCAACAGTGGGAAGACCGGACTAATTTCGTCGGTATGTACTACATTTCCTCTCAGATTAGTTTTTTCCCCGTTTCTCATATGTCCCTGTTGATCAAAACAGCAAAGTAGTTTGTACTTAGATTGAGATGAATAACTTATTGGCGCAGGTCGGGAACTTGGCTGCTCCTGTGGAAGAATGGACTGTAGGTGGAACTGCTCTCACAGCCTTGATGGATGTCGAGAGGAGACACGGTACGAAAAAAAAAGTTGTGTTATTGTAACTAAGACACATTCGAAATCTAGATATTAAAAACCCTGAGTTGATTTCAATTTGCAGGTAAGTTCAAGCCTGTGATCAAGAAAGCGATGGTGGAACTTGACGGTGAGCCTCTGATTCTTCATTCTTATAGTTTTTGATGTGACGAGGAAAAGGTCTTACGAGTGTATTTGGAATCTGCAGATGCACCTTTTAAGAAGTTTGCATCGCTGCGTGAGGAATGGGCCTTGAAGAACCGATACATCAGCCCTGGTTCGTTACGATTTTTTTGTTTTGTTTTAAACAATGCATCTTTCGTTTCGGTTTCTCATCGTTTCCATTGCGGAAATGTTAATTCTGACTTGCAGGTCCAATCCAATTCACGGGACCTGGTTCAGACGCTCTCAGCCACACTCTACTTCTCGAACTTGGAGCTCAATAGTTTCGATAATCTACCCTTTGTTCCCTCGGTTTTCTTGCAATTTCGCATTTGGTCTTCTTTTACACTTTCAAACATGGCTATAATTCTCCTTAGCATTTTGGTTTAAGTTTGATTTCTCGTGTGTACTTCAACATATAAGATCATAATATTGACCACAGGCTTTAATCCTGGTTCAAGGTTCCAAAGTCTGGTTAGTAGATTCCTATTAGCAAAGTCTGGATTCAACAAATGGTTACTTATGAATTTTAATTTGAAGACCGTTCCCAGAGAAACGAAGGATTAAAACATTAATGATGATGTTTCGAAGTTTCGAACTGAAGAAATAAATAGACCGACTGAAATTCAGACAATCTCTCTCTCTCTTGTCTGTCTCACTTAGCTTCGTTAAATTCGGCAAAGCTTTCGCGCTCTTATTTATGGCAATTTCTTCCATCCTTTTCGTTTGTCTTTTTCTCTCTCTTCTTTTGTCGATTCAGACACAGAGAGGAGAGAGAGAAGAACGACCAGAAAAGGAGGGGACTTTTGTTTGATCATGGGATATGAAAGACCTGACGAAGAGAGACCCGAGTCACGTGACCTTCGGTTCTATGGAGGTCCACCGCCGCGTCTAGGCCCGACCCGGTTCGCCGGAGACCCGAGTAAGCGAGGGAAACGAAAGAGATTAATCCGATACGAGAGAAGGACGGCTAAAACAGCCATAGGCGTAATCGCCATTTTGGGTTTCTTCTTCCTATTGAATTGGTCCATGCTCTCTCGTCTTCACGAAGGTCGTGCCTGGCTTCGAAAAGGATTCTCTAGGAACCGAAACCCGAAGAGTAAAGATAATGGAACATATGGTAGAATGTTGGCTTTGGCTGCTCGTGCTTTGGCAGAGGTAATATTGTGCTATTATTCTTCAAAGCTATTTTTTTTTTTTTTCTTCTTGTTATTGCGATTTCTAATTTTGCTTTGTAAATGGTGTTTGATTTGGAACAGAACAAACCTGAGCCAAAAGACTTATGGCAGGAGCCAAAGGTACAAGCTTTGGCTTGGAAACCTTGCGCCCATCAACGTTCTTGGACTCCTGCTGGTCTCTCTCACTGACTCTCTTCCTCTCTTTCAAATTTGATTAAAGCTTGTTTCCCATTGAGTCTCTTGATTTTTTAGATGGCAAAAATGGATATATTATGGTAACTGCAAACGGAGGGATTAATCAACAAAGAGTTGCTGTATGTTTTCTTCTCCTTATCCTTTGATTCGTCTATGAAATTTTCTCTATATAAGCGTTGAATGTCTTGCACAGGTATGTAACATCGTTGTTGTAGCCCGGTTGCTCAATGCGGTTCTTGTCATTCCCAAATTCATGCTCAGCGACGTTTGGACAGATGCAAGGTAACTATTGTAAGCTCCTCGTCCTCTCTCCCTCTCTAATCACTTTCGAATCACATTTTGTATGACGAATAATCGGAACTTTATATTTGTAACGATGTGTTTGAACTTTGATACTTCATAGTCAGTTTGGAGATATCTATCAAGAGGAACATTTTATTAAGTATTTATCGCCCGATATTCGGATAGTAAAGGAACTACCAAAAAATCTTCAATCTTTGGATCTTGAAGCAATCGGCAGCGTTGTGAGTTCACTAACTAACCGGTTCTTGATGTGGAAGATCTCATCTTTCTTCTCTTTTTGTTCATGTTTTGTCACTTCTATCTCTTAAGGTGACAGATACAGATGTGATGAAAGAAGCCAAACCAGGTTTCTATATAAACCACATTCTCCCTATACTACTCAAGAACAGAGTTGTCCATTTCGTTGGTTTCGGAAACCGCTTAGCCTTTGATCCAATGCCATTTGAGTTACAGGTATACATTTTCTCAATCCTCTGCCATTTGGATCTCTGATTAGCTTATTTGATCTTAAACTTTTTTTGGACGTAGAGGCTTCGGTGCAGATGTAACTTTCACGCGCTAAACTTTATCCCACGAATACAAGAAACAGGCGCGTTGCTCGTGAGGAGATTACGAAACAGTGGATCTTACCTTGCGCCGCTTGATCAGCATCTCCTCGGTCCAAAATCCGCTTCCTTAATCTTGGACAATAAGTCTGATACTCCTGCGCAGAAGAAAGCAGCTTCTTCCTCTTCTAAGTATCTTGCTCTCCATTTACGGTTTGAAATCGACATGGTGGCTCATTCTCTATGTTACTTCGGAGGAGGGGAGACAGAACAAAAGGAATTGGACTCTTATCGCCAAAAACACTTCCCGTCTCTCTCAACTCTAACCAAAAAGAAAAAGTTTGTTCCTTTAAACTCGAGCTTCCTCTTTCCTTGTTTTTGATACTAAACCGAATTGCTCTGTTTTTGGTATGTTTAGATTTCCATCTCCTGATGCATTGAGGACGGAAGGACTTTGTCCGTTAACACCCGAAGAAGCCGTGCTTATGCTCGCGGCTCTTGGCTTTAACCGCGAAACTCGAGTTTTTGTAGCTGGCGCAAATATATACGGAGGATCAAAACGTTTAGCCGCGTTAACTAGCTTATATCCAAATCTAGTTAGCAAGGAGAAATTACTATCTCAAGCCGAGCTAGAACCATTCAAGAACTTCTCATCTCAGGTAATTAAAAAACTTTCGATTCCGTTTCGCTTTATTTGGTTCGTCTAAGACCTCGAATGTTTCAAACATCAAATTCCCGTTTGGAATATGAAACATTTCCATAGAATATGTTTGCAAATTTAAACAAATGCATCTTTTGTTTGCGTTTGGTGTTTTTTTGTTTGCAACTAACAAATAAAGTTTGCTTAAAATGTAGTTAGCGGCTTTAGATTTCATTGCTTGTGCTGTGGCAAACGCTTTTGCGATGACGGATTCAGGGAGTCAGCTATCGTCTCTTGTGTCCGGTTATCGGATTTATTACGGAGGAGGGAAAATGCCGACGATTAGACCGAACAAACGGCGACTTTCGGACATATTGTTGAAGAATAATACGATTGATTGGAAAGTGTTCGAGAAGAGAGTGAGAAAAGCGATTAGACAAACAAAACATGTCTTCGCTAGACCTATTGGACGCAGCGTTTACCGTTACCCAAGATGTATAGAATGCATGTGTAATGATCAAGAACATTGATTCTTTTCATACTTAATTTTTTTGCCTTCCGGTTTTGATTCGGCTATTGAGATGGTTAAAACTGAGTAACACTTCGGCTTTTTTTGTTTGTAACACTATAACCAAATTATCCTATATACGATTGAAGATAATACCAAGATTTAATTTGACATTCTGATTTTTCTAAAGATAAATTTCGTAATCTCATAGAACCACAACAAATGCAATGTCTGT